CCCCGCCCCGCCTTCTGCCTCTGCTCCCTACCCCCACTCCCTCCTTTCCCTTTGTCCCACTCCCTACCTTTTAGGAGCAGCCAGAAGGAACCACCCTTGTCAAGGAGGAAGGGGACAAAGATGAAAGCAAACAGGAGCCTGAAGTCATCTATGAGACCAACTGCCACTGGGAAGGCTGCACGCGGGAGTTCGACACCCAGGAGCAGCTGGTGCATGTGAGTGAGCGGTGCTTGGAGCTGGGCTTTCCACTCGGTGACCCTCTCCACCGAGGTCGGCCTCTCTGCCCTTCGCGCTGAGTCAAGTTTCTTAGCTTAGCGTTGCACACTGGAGAGGGCTTTATGACTTTCTGAGAATAAAGAGAACTCAGAGCCACAGTGCTTGACCTGTTCAGTCAGCTAAAGCTTAGTGTAAAATTCAATAAAGTCTTCAATAGAGAGTGTAATGACTCTGATCCCGTAAGCCAGAAAACAGTATTTTGAGTTAGCGACTTTGATGGTTATTGAGTAATAGTAAGCTGGACATGAATTATTATTAACCTTATAACCAAGTTTGATTCTTCTTCCAAGACCCAGTAACAGCAGAAAAATTGTAGGGGCGAGGGATTCATTTTGTCCTCTCCCAAGCCCTCACTGTGGAAGGAATCTCCAATATTTTGCGTAGTAATTAGCACCGAATGTGAAGATGTGTGGAATAAACCACAATCACAGTTTTTTGACTGGTGGCCCACCCTCGTGTGGTTGGTAGTCTCATGGAAAAACTGATATGTGTATTTATGGTGTCTGTTTCTGAAATTGCAGTGTGGTCACACTGAGAGGCTTCTCCATAGCTTCTCCGACCCAGTGGAGTTCAGGATCCCTTCCTGTGTGTCATTTCAGATGCTGCGGTGTAGCACGGCCACCCTGCCACCCCTTATTTCTGATTCTTCCTTCCTCGGTTCTTCATTGTCCTTGGCACTTTCTCAGAGGCCAGTGGAGTGTCCCTGGCTGCACCCACGAGCCACTGACGTAGAAGAGCAGTAAGATAATCAAGAATAGCTCCATAGATACAGGCTCACACAGCTATGCGGAAGCAAGTACCGGAGGCATCCAGGGCAGTTTGCTAAGTGTGGCCATGTCATATTTTACTACGATGGACCATGTGACAGAGTGGTGTTTCTTGTGATTGCGTCTCTCTTTCTCTCTCATGGGATCCTCTCTTTTTATAGTCACTTCGTATTTCTTGGTGATCCGTATCCTCGGTAACTTTCTTCCATTTAGACTGAACACTGAACGTCCTTCTCATATCCCAAGTATTTCATAGGCTGCGAGAGCTTGCAGCATGGCCCATCCTGTGTCACATAATCCATGCAGTTGTGTTCTAGTGTTCTGTGCACATACGTCATGCATGGCTTGGAGATCTGTCATCTGCAGAAAGTTTTGAGGATTTCACACAACATCAGCAGACATCCCCTCCCCCCCCTTTATTTTTCAGTCGTGTCTGCTTGTACTTGTTATAGGAAAAATGCTAGATGTCTGAACACAGCAAACCACTAGCAAGTCGAATGTTTTTAATTAAGGTATATTTCCAGACTTTTTTCATGAGCTTAATTTGAGTTTTTAATTTGATGCAAGTGTTATTTTTTAAGCCAAGCCTGACTTAATAGCCTTTTATTGTTGCCGTTTTAATGGAAACCACAAAGACGTTGTGGGGAACGTTAGGAATTTTTTCTTTAATACGTAGAAGTATTTCCAGAGAGTAGCATTTGCCTGAATATCCTTAGTGTCATTAAGAGTGATTAGCATCCATGAAGACAACTGCGTCAACGCTGCCATCATAGGAGGATGCTGGCTGTGCTCACTGCCCCTCCAGAGGGAGTACTCTGCCTCATGACACCTACTTGGAGCATAAGTCCTTGCAGTTTTCAAGGAGTGCTGTCATGTGGGTTCAGTTGCCCTCAGATGAGGAACGACTTAGGTGCTCTTTCAACATTTAGGGTGGATGGTGCTCCTCACGAGAGACTCAGTTTTAGGTAACATTTTTTAGAATGTTTTTTTGTACATCTCTCTAGCTCAAAGCCTACATCTAAGACGTGGCAGTCAAATCAAGGATATTACCAAGTGCGCCATTTTCAACAGAGAACTTTACATTTTGCTGTCAGTTAAGTTCACTGCCTAAGTAACGTGAAAGCTTTGAAGATCTGGGATGGCGGCAGGTACCTAGATTCGATCTCAGTGGCCATAGGTTTCTATTTTGCTAGTGGAGAGATCTGAGTAGCTGTAAGGGAAGGCTGCTTAAACTACCAAATAAAAGTCCATCACGTTTGTTCTATCAAAACTACCTTAAAAATCTGAAGGCACCTACAGCCAGTGGAATTTCTTTTCTTCCTAATCAGCTAGAGGAAATTCATGTCAGGATTAGGAACAACTCCAATGTGTTACCTTTATGATATTAATTTTAGTATGAGCTAAATTATATGCGTAAGTACATTTAATTAGGTGCATTACAAATTATAATTTACAGCAACATAAATGAAGAACCTAGTTTATATCGCTTATTTTTCCACCTTTTTACTCATCATCAGAAGTGTTGAAATTCTGAATTTGTGCGTTCGTATTGCTTTCACATCGCTTGACACACACACATCTTCCTCGCGAGTGTATCTGGTACCATTAGCGGCGGCCTGGTGTAGAAGACGTGCTCTCTGTTTTGTCGATTGAAGGAGTACCTACTGCAAGCCCACCTAATTACTTTGGTGGCAGATGGAATAAATACCAGTTGCAAAAAGCACTTTTTTTTTTTTTCGGGTAGGGGGAAAGCGTTAACTGTTTCCATTCCTCTGACTCTCCTTGGCAAAAGGACATTTGGTGAATTAGTCGAATTTTCATGCTACATAGAGCCAAGAGGCAAGGTGTTAAACCATTCTGATGCTCTGCCTTATTTATAGCCATGACCCATTCTTTTTTCCCCTCTTACAGTTAATAGAAAGATTCATGATTCTTCATGGTTGTCTATCTAGTGTCTGACAGTCCCGACTGCCTGCTAGAGCAAGTCACTATCTATAATTGATATCCTTCCGTGGAATAGGGTGCTGGCTGCAATTGAAGGGCTTTGCTGAAAGCTCTTAAATCCTGACAAGTTCTCCCCTTGTTCTGGTTCAGTCGCTGAGCTGCACGGTTGGAATTCCAGAGTTATTTGAACTTGGTGCAAAAGGGAGACATGTGTTTCACATTAGCAAATCACAAAGTTGAAGAGGAGAATTCGGAACTCGGCTGACTTTGCCCGCCAGGTAGTCTCATTTCCAGTGTAATGCACTCCATGTCCTCTTGAAGAGATTACCGCGTCCATTACTGTCTGAACAGATGGGCTAAATATTGCTTTTCCCTTCTCCTCCTCTTTCTTTCAAGGCCCTCTCCCTCTCCAGTTGTGTGTTTGTTCGAGTTTTGCTGCTGGGGTCTTTATCACTGGGGTGTTTAATTAATTTCTCTTCCCAGCAAGATAATTATAATTGGGCTGAGTTACTCGCAGGCTAATATTAAATTTGTCATAAATTTACTTCTATGACCAGAAGCTAAGAAGATAAATGTCTATTTTTGTAAACTAGGTTTTGTACTTTGTCCCTTTTTTCGGTGTCAGTTAGAATAGCAGGGAGTAAGAAGGGTAGATAATACAAAAATTAATTTTAAGTACATTTGATTAAGACTGCATTTATTATTGATTTGTCAAGATGCGAGTATTTTCCCTTGCCATGACATCTGAAAGTTGCATATTCTAACGTCTCAAAAGAAGCTGAAAGTCCACAGTTCCCCTTCAGTGTTAAAGGAACCACTCATTTTGTTGTGGTTGTATATTATATTACAAAAGATGTGAGTATTAAATTTAAATGTGTTTCTGAAAGTTATAGAGTATCCGTTCTCAGTGTGTTTGGGTTCTGTTTATGTTGTTTTGGTGTAGCTGTGCAACTGTGTAAAACAACTCAGCCTGGTTTTTCCCATGGATGAAAGATGCTTTTAGTCCTTGGTGAGATCTGCTTCCCTCTTGTTTTAATTTTGACCCAGAAGTTTCGTCTTTGTCTCTTTGAGGGTAGAGGAGGCTGAAAGATGCGTAGCATGGGGCACAAGTTAGTCTTAGGTTCTTGAGTCCTGCATCCTTTGGTCGTGAATAACAATGTGTGTACCACTGATGTTTTGAGAGGCTCTTTGCAAAGAGAAAGGAATGAATACAAAGAATGTGGACCTCAGTGTTAAAACCCCACTGCTGAGTGGCCAGAGTGGCCAGTTGTGTTTGAAAACATCACCGCGGAGATCTGAAAGAATGAAGTGTCGTGTCGTCGCGATCTCGTGTCCACCTGTCTGCTGTATTCCTGCAGTTCCTTGCCCTCAGTTTCTACTTAGGAAATATCACGTGCAATATTCTTCTCAAAGGTCTTTAGATAGTCAAATTATCTTTTCACTGTATTATTCCCCAACCCGATCCCCAGCAGAATGGACCATGCAGAAACCCTTGAAAATGATACTGGGGGTGTTGTCTTCTTCCCGTGGGGTGGGACTGCAGAGAATGTGAGATGTATTTATATGAACACCCAGCTTCGACTGGGTGGCATTTAAGTCTCTGTAATCTTCCATTTGTATCTTTTCAATATGGTGTCAGAAATTCACCTTTTTGTAAAGTAATTAACCACCTACTTGGATTTTAAATGCTTTCAGACGCTACCAATTTTGATCTCTGAAAGCATGCTGAAGTTTCCTTTCTCAGAAGAATAAAGTTATAATCACCTTTGCTGCCATCTGGAAACAAATTCTATACCTTGGCGGTGTGAAAATGAAGGGCTTTCTTCTTGCTATCATAGAGATTTAGATGTGAAGCAAGCACATCTAATTTGAAGAATTGATGTATCCAGAGAAAGGCGAGGAAGAGTTGGGATGTGAAGACATTATTTTCATATTCATGCCGTGGCCACACATTTGCATTTTAAATATTTTCCATCTAATTTTGATTCTTTTGCTAAAGTTACATAGTGTATCCTTACCTGGGAGAAAATTGAGTTTAAAATGTGATAGGGGTCTCAGATAGGGGGCAGACATTAGTTTGTGTGCTCATAACACCTAAAAACGAATGAGTGGAGATTTTGATCTTCTTTTCTCCTACATGGAGTTGCTAGTTCATTTAGTTACCGTAATTATTTGGAAATATGGCATGTAAAATATAGACTAAGGACTACAGACTTCAAAGCCATGTG